TGAGATCATGACTGGAGCCAAAATCGAGAGTCAGATGCTTAACTGACTGAGCCACCCAGGCGCCCCTAAGAGCACTTTTTCTGATGCCTGGCATGAGAAAACTCAATAAATAAATAATCTAGTGATTATTAGAATCAACATATTCTCGTTTACATTCTTGTTCACTATGTGCATTTTTAAAAATCCTTTCTACAACTCCAGAAGTTCCTTTAGGTCTGTGGCCATAATTGATTATATAGTTTTGCAAATAGTATTCAAGATGTGTTTCTCAAAGCAATGGCATCCCAGCCTTTGAACAAGTTCAGGGCCCCCAGAGGCAACGGCTTTTTCAGATCTAGCCTTCCTCTTCTCTGGTGTTATAAACCAAATTGTGCCCCCTACTCCCAAATTCCTATGTTAAAATCCTAACCCCAAGTACCTCGGAATGGGACTGTACTTGACAACAGAGCCTTTATTTAACAAGGTCGTTTAGGTAAAATGAGGTCACATGAATGCATCCTAATGCAATATGCCTGGCGTTCTGCTAAGAAGAGGAAATCAGGATCCAAACACACCCAGAGGGAAGACCATGTGAAGACCAAGGGAGAAGACGGCATCTAAAAGCCAAGGAGAGAGGCTTAGAAGAAACCAGCCCTCCTCTGTGCTGATGGTGCAGAAACTGCTTACGATTCTCTCTCCCTCTCTCTCTGCCCCTTCCCCCGAAAGATAAATAAACTTTAAAAAAAAAAATTAAAAAAAGAAGAAACCGACTCTGATGTTACCTTGCTCATGGATTTCTAGCTTCCAGAACTGTGAGAAAGTAAATCTCTGTTGTTTAAGCCACGTGGTCCGTGGTGTTTTGTTATGGTGGCCCTAGCAAATGAATACACTCCTCTGCCCTATTCTCTCCCATCGTGAAAATGCTTCCCCTTTCCATCTGAAACCCTTCAGTACTTTGGCAGGTCCCTGCTTCACAAATTGTGAAGTCAGTGGTCCTTCTCTTGTGGGAGTTTTTTGTTTTTTGAGTCTATTTATTTGACAGAGAGTGCAAATAGGGTAGGGGCATAGAGAAAGAGGGAGAAAGAGAATCCCAAGCAAGCTCAGCACTATCAGCACAGAGCCTGATGTGGGACTCGAACTCACAAACTGTGAGATCATGACCTGAGCTGAGACCAAGAGTCTGTCGCCTGAGTCACCCACGCACCCCTCCTGTGGGAGTTTTTGGTGCTTGTTGTTTTGTTTGCATCTAACACAGACTTCCATGTTCTTAGCCCAGTAGTTTTCAAGGTACGTTCATGAGAGGATCATTCGTGTTGCAGAGAAAGGGGTTTCCGAAGTCATGGTCACTGCGTGGTGTGGTGTTATTCCAGGCTGATTAGGCTGCAGGACTCAGAGCATTGCGGATCTTCGAGAAGGGAAAACAGCATGAGCCATTCCCCACGTCCATGTGACCACAGAACCCTCTTACCACCGAGCATCTTTCAGGACTAATACCAACTGTGCCCCAACTACACCAGCTCAAATGTACAACCTCTAACGATGAGAATCCTTGGAAGTGGCAACACATGGCTGAGAAAGTCTTCAAGTTTGTGAAGTAGGCCCCTCAATGTAGGCCACTGGGACATTACCTGAAATCAGGATATTAGAGCTGGAAAGGACCTCAGATCATTTTGTCCAATTTGAAGATAAGGAAATGGAGGCCCTGAGAGATTAAAGGGTTACCCCAGGCCACAGGCGAGGGGGAGTCACCAATGACCTAGGACTCGTCTTTGTGAGTGGCCTTTGGGAAAGCTGCTGCTGTGAAAAACATGAGACTCCACACACTGGTGTCAGTTTCACACACAACTTTATAGTGTTCTTCTGGTGTCATCCTTTCTGAGGAGTGTGAGAGGTACCTTCAGCCTGGTAACTCCCTTGCCACCATGCTGGGCCTCCTCCTGAGCCCAGGCTCTGCTCAATCTCCCTCACCCAAAGCCCTGCAAAGTCCAGTGGCCCAAAGTCTAGTTTTGGGGTCGGGACTGGTTGACCAGTCCATTAGCATGACAGCAAAAGCTCAGGCTTTGAAGCTGGGTTCCAATCAGAGTGGTCACTTAGCAACGGTGTGAAAGTGAACACTGCACAGCCTGTCTGTCCAAGGTGGGATACAGCACATAAAGTGACTGTGGCTGACTCAAAGGAATGGAAGAATAGGACTTAGCATGCTGCCTGCACACATTAGTTCCCATCCTTCCTCTTAAAATAGAGATCACTCAGTGAGACCATGGAATTCTGAAGAGCAGCAACTATTGCCAGTATCTTATCTAGTATAAACCAATTTGTAAAGGTAATGCCTCCAGCGAGAAAGCAAAGCCAGCCATTAGTTTAGGGCACAATGACCAGCTATACCTTTATCACCTTCCATTTTCTTTCAGACTGTTTCCTCAGTCATCGGTGTTCATGTGGCCTTCCACAGATCAAGGAACCCTGGAACAGGACCAGGAATCAAGACCAAGATGCTGGTTTGGAAGTTTTAATGGAGATGTAGAGATGGAAATGTTTATCAACTCAACACAGGTACCCCAAAATACAAAGCAAAATATCATCTTCAGCTGCATAGCAAATATGATTTAAGAATTTAACATCATGATTTGATCACAAGCGTAAATATAAGTCACCATAAATAAATGTAAATTCATTGTACAAAAATTCCCAACAACTCTTAATACAAATATGGTACATTTGACAGTTTTTGAAACAATTTTTTTTAAACTTTTTAAAACCTAAGATTTTTTTTTCCTGCTTCTTAGACACACAAAAAAAATCAAATCAAAAGGAGGCAGTAATACCAGGGAGGAAAGAATATTAAAGCTGTTTGGTATTCATAAATAAATGTTGCTGGCGAGCCAGGGAAATGAAATGTCTTTCATTTAGGTAAAGACCTCAATTTATCAGGATCAAGTCTCTTGAGGATAATAGGATTCTACCCAAGGGGTCAAATTCAGGGTTACAGATGCAGAACAGGAAGGACAGGTTATTGAAATAGCAGTCTCCTCAAATGGGTGACCCAAATCTCCACAAAGGCAATGATCATGGATTTGGAATAATCTCTAGGACTTAATAGCCAGTCACCTATCTGAAAGAGCCACTGTCCCCGGACAGGACTGAAGATTCTCTGTAGCTTAGAGATTTTTTGTTGGTGGGTTTTGAAGGTGTGTTCCACCATGTAGTTCTATCATGCGGTGTGTGTAGCCTCTCCCTTTTGCCTTTGGCGCATCTATGGTCACCAAGAAGAAAAAAATTAAAAAATCAGAATAGGAAGTCGCATCTAAGGATGAGAGGATCTGCCGGTCCACCCTGAATCACTTTCCTACCCTACAAATATTTTCTTTCATGGCTCAGAAGGAGCTCAAAGCCCTAGTGGTGGAAAGACCTTCTACAGCAGTGGTCCTCAGATTTCCTTGTGCAACAGTACAACAAAGAGGGCTTGTGGATAGTGATTTCCCTTACTCTGGTTAATTGGTTTGAGGTACGGCCCAGGAATCTGCATCCAATGTGCTAGTCTCAGGACATGTTGATATAGGCCTTTGGACCACATTTGATGAGCCCTTCTTTCCTCCCTGGTGGGCACAGTGTATCACACAACCTCTTGCTATGGACTGTGTTGCTCTTTCCATGGGGTTAAAATGGGCCATCTGTTAATGGTAACCATTTCCATTCATCCACCCTAAGGGAGGGGATCATTATTGTTCTATTTTTCTCACTTTTCTTTTCCTCCCTGGGTTGGGGATGAGATATCAAATGTCTCACTTTTATTTTCTTACAAGCTCAGGGTCCCAGGCTTCTTTCAGCAAGAGGTGCTCTGTAATGAGACATTCATTCCCAAAGCCTTCCATCCTTCTAACCAGTCTCCCTATGCTCACTGGGAGATTCTGCAGAGTTTTGGTTGAGTCTGAGAAATGCACATAGATATGCCCCTGTGCGATATGCCCCAGGCCTCAAAATCTTAGTTAAAGAGAACTAAGGATGTTGAGAGTAAAAGATAAAATGTCCTAGGAATCTTTCAGCTTCTAGGACAATGGAAGTACTGATTCAGTAGAACAGGACTCCTTTTCTGGGAGTGCATCCTGGTACTAAAAGCTCATTGACAAGTGTTATTTATATTCCTCACCTCCCTGACTCCAATATGTTTTGGACTTCTGTTGAAATAACCCCTTAATATTTTCTTTCTCATGGGAGTGTTCCTTGATGAGAGTCTGTGCAGAGAAGTTGTCCCTAATTTGGTCACTGGCTAATGCGGTGGGCAGTGCATGACTGACTTGTTCCATGCTGCATCCCCAGCATCCACTGCCCTGTGCAGCTTGGTACTCACAGTATTTGATTGATGAATAAAGGAACCGCCTCCTCACCAAGCTGAGATGGTCTAATGGCTTTCTGTTTGGGGCTATGGAATTCCTGGCTGTGTTAATAAATACTGTTTCTGCACAACAGGCCTGACCATCTTCCTACCATAACTTCACTAAGTAAGATACGATTATGAATGCACTTCTGAGTTCTCTCTAGGAGCACCCTGAGAGGGGAGTGGGATTTGGGGAGTCCAGGGACAGCCAGGGCCACCACCATCTATCATTGTGTCAGTACCAGGAACCTCGTCTTCTGTTTCCCATGGCTCTCAGTGTCTGGTCCATGACTGCTGTGGGTGCTAGAATCCTTGGCACCCAGAGCAGGGGGAGATGTCACCTGGGAAAATGCGGGGAGGGAGCCAGAGGAGGAGAGGAAGTCGGTACGTGGACATACTCCTGTCAGCTCAGGCTGGTATCTCAGGTTATGGCCATGCTCTTTTCTCTGCTCTGAGACTTCACTTCTGAGGTCACGTGTGGGCACTGGGTAGGAGGTCACCATTTGGGAGGAGGTCTTGAGAAGCAACCATGGATGTGGGGTGGGGCTGTGAGATGGAGAAGGGGTGAGACTAGGGCTCTTAATACAGCTGAGGGGAAAAAAGAAAAGAAAAAGCACATACTGCCCTGTTTCTTTTGATTTTTTTTTTTTTTTTTCATTTACGCTATGGAGAAACCACCATGGAGATGTCATGGGAGAGCATGCACAGGCCCAGCCCTTGGGAGGTGTAGATGTGTTTGGGGAGGTTCTTGTTTGTGTCCAGGCCTATCCCATATGCTGTCCAGGAGGACCCTGTTGCAGGCTGGCCATGGCTTTCTCTCTCCTGCTTCTTCTCCTCCAGGTCGAGGGTCTGCAGGACCTTCCGCCTAGCAGGTGGTGGCCAAGGACTGGTGGATGGGTGGCTGGAAGCAACGTACATGCTCTACGGTGGAGCTGTCTGTCTCCACGGACTTCATGTACTTGTTCAGGATGGCAAAAACCTCATTGTTCAAGATCTGGTACTTCCTAATTCTGTCTGCCATCTTCTTCAGTGGCTGCAGAAGGACAGGGATGTGCAGGTTAGGGGCAGGAGGAAGGGACAGAGGGGAAAAAAAGGAAGAGCAAGAGAAGAGTTCAGTGAGGTTGGGGTCCAGGGTCTTGATGCTTCAATGATCACATCACTCTCTTGCTTAAAGGCCTTGTATTGGTTTCCAGAACTAAGCAATCAAATCTTAACTTGGCCATAAAGCCCTTTGTGAGTTTTGAAACTTACTACAAAGCTACAGTCATCAAAATAGTATGGCACTGGAATGAAGACAGACACACAAATCAATGGAATAGACAGCCAAGAAATAAACTCCTCCATATATGGTCAAAGGATTTTTAACAAGGGTGCAAAAAAACATTCAATGGAGACAGTATGGTGTTTTCAATAAATGGTGCTAGGAAAACTGGATATTCACATGTAAAGAATGAAGCTGGATCCTTACCTTACACAACATAAAAACAAAAACCAAAAACAAACGTTGAAATGGTTTAAAGACCTAAACATAGGAGCTGAAACTATAAAACTCAGAAGAAAACATGGAGGAAAAGCTTCATGAAACTGAGTTTGGCAATGATTTCTTAAATGTGACACCAAAAGCACAAGTAATAAAAGAAAACATAGGGGTGCCTGGGTGGCTGAGTCGGTTAAGCGTCCAACTTCAGCTCAGGTCATGATCTCACGGTCCGTGAGTTCGAGCCCCATGTCGGGCTCTGTGCTGACAGCTCAGAGCCTGGAGCCTGCTTCAGAATCTGTGTCTCCCTCTCTCTCTGACCCTCCCCCATTCATGCTCTGTTTCTCTCTGTCTCAAAAATAAATAAACATTAAAAAAAAATTAAAAAAAAAAGAAAACATAAACTGAACTACATCAAAATTAAAAACTTGTTTTTAAAATGTTTTTAAATGCAAACTTGTTTGCATCAAAGGACACTATTAACGGAGTGAACAGGCAACCCATGGAATGGGAGAAAGTATCTGCAAGTCAATATCTGATAAGGGACTAATATTCAGAATATATAAATATATCCAGAATATATAAACATATCCAGAATATATATCCAGAACATATAAATATACATAATATCCAGAATATATAAATATAAATGTATATATATACACAACAAAAAACAATCCAATTGAAAAGTGAGCCAAAGGGGCACCTGGGTGGCTCAGTCAGTTGAGCGTCTGACTCTTGATTTTGGCTCAGGTCGTGATCCCAGGGTCATGGGATCGAGCCCCTGTGTTGGGCTCTATGCTGAGCATGGAGTCTGCTTAAGATTCTCTCTCTCTGTCTCTGTCTCTGTCTCTCTCTCTCTCCCCCTCTCTCTGCCACTCTTTCCCACTTGCATGCGTGCTCTCTCTGTAAAAATAAAATACATCTTAAAAAAAAAAAAGTGAGCAAAGGACTTGAATAGCCATTTCTCCAAAGAGGATAACCAAACAGCTGATAAGCACATGAAAAGATTCTCAACATTACTAGTCATTAGGAAATGGGAATCAAAACCAGAATGAGATACCCCTCTACATCCATTATGATGGCTATTACCAAAAACCCCAGAGAATAACAAGGGCTAGGAAGGATGGGGAAAAACTGGAACTTGTGCATTGCTGGTGGGAATGTAAAATGGTGCAGCCACTACTGAAAATGGTATGGCAGTTCCTCTAACATTAAAAATAGAATTAGCGGGGTGTCTGGGTGGCTCAGTTGGTCAAGTGTCCAACTTTTGATTGTGGCTCAGGTCATGAGCTCACAGTTCGTGGGACTGAGCCCCACACTGGGCTCTGTGCTGACAGTGTGGAGCCTGATTGGGATTCTCTCTTTCCCTCTCTCTCTGCCCCCAACCCCCGGCCCATGCTCTCTCTTTCTCTCTCTCTCTCAAAATAAATAAATAAACTTAAAAAAAAAATGGAGTTAGCATATGACCCAGCAATTCCACTTCCTAGGTATATACAAAAGAAGTGAAAGCAGGAACCTGAACCAATATCTGTGCACTCATGACCACAGCAGCATGTACACAATAGCCAAAAAGTGGAAGCAACTCAAGGGTTCATCAGTGATGAATGGATAAACAAAATGTGGTATATGCATACACTAGAATATTATTCAGCCTTAAAAATGAAGAAAATTCTGATACAAGCTACAACGTGGTAAACCTGGAGCACATGGAATAATCCAGTCACAAAAGGACAAATACTGTATGATTCCTCCTATGTGAGTCCCTGGCGTAGTCAGATCCTAGAGACAGAAGGTGGAAAGGTGGTTACCAGAGTCTTGGGGGAGGGGAGACTAGGGAGCTAGAGTTCAATGGGAACAGTGCTTCAGTTTGGGAAGCTGAAAAAGTTCTGGAGATGGAAGGTGGTGACGGCTGCGTGACAGAGTGAGCGTGCCCAATGCCACAGCACCACGCACTTAAAGATGGTTAAGATGGCAACTTTGATGTTTTATGTATGTTCTACCACAATGGCAAAAAACAAACACAAATAAAACAAACACCCTTTATGAGGTAGCTCCTGCTTCCTTCTCCTTTCAGCTAGTCCTAGAGACCCGCGCTCTGTTCCAGCCACACATCTTCATGTCTCTCTGCATTTGCTATGGCTGTTCCCTCTGTCTGGAACATCCTCCCCACGCTGCACCCCATTTTTTGCCTCGTTATTGGCTGCTGGTCATTCTGGACTCAGCTCAAGTGCTGTCTCCATGAGACGCCTTCTCTGGCCACCCCTCCCCGCCTGTCCCCTCAGCCCAATTTAGACAGCCCTTGTCAGTGCACCCCAGCGGCCCCGCTTACTCCACAGCCACGTTTTTCCCATCCCCATGCCTGTACGACTTCCGTGTTCAGTGAGAGTTTGTGTGGATGAGGCACCGGTATCAGCAGTCTGACTGGCACAGGGAAGGGGTAATTCAGGTCTGGAGCCCGGCCCAGCCCTACGGGGTGACCTGATTCATCCCAGCAGGTTATGAGCAAGTGACTCATGGCTTCCTATAAGAAGGTCCCCAGCCACTGAGCATTTTTGTACCTACCTGTGGTGTGGGGACTTGGCCTCCACAAGCGGCTCACCCTCCTTTTCAGATGAAAGCCTGCCTGTCAGGCCCAGCCCCGCCTCCCTGGCCCCAACCATGAGCTGCTTACCACGTTCTTAATGACCTCATCCTTCCCGTCCTGCCTCTGTACTTTTAGCAGGTGGTAACAGAAGTCAAACAGGTCGAAGCGACGCTGCTGGCCCAGCAGGACGATGATGGAGCAGCCGGCCCAGTTCAGACCGTCACCAAAACACTGCCTGGGAGTGGGAAGAGGAAGCAGCTAGAGTGAGGGGCAGGGAAGGGCAGGGGGAGGGCTCTGGGGCCAGGAGTACAGACAGTGAGCAAGCCCGTCCCTGGGTCAATCCTCTTCATCTGTAAAGTGGGTACAAGGGAAGATGTGAGCATACGTTCACTTGTTCCAGGGACCGTGGTTACGTTATAAATCTTCCTAACCACAAAGAGGTGTCAGCCTATTAGCCACTGATGGAAAAATCACCTTTGCGGAAAACAAATTTGCAGGGAAAAAATTCAACCAGTCCTTGAGATTTACGTGGCTGATTAGAATTCAGATGAGAATGTGTCCGACCTCTCTGTAAAGGAGCTACAGGAATGCTTGTGAGGCGAAGGACCATCTCAAACCAGGGGACCAAGTGGCCCATGCAGGCTCAGAGGGCAGGGATGGGGCATGGTGTGTGGACGAGCAGACACTATTGGTGTGGGGTGGGGGGGAGCTGTGAGTCCTCCTGGGCTGGTGAGGCTCAACCTGTATGCCTCCCGCACGCAGCAGCATCTTGGGCGATTTTGGAGGCCATGGGTCGTCTCTCTGCTGTTTTCTTGTCCTCAAGCAGCAGCTGCAGCCCGATGGGCAGATTTCCCTGCTTCCCCATCACCGTGGCTAAAGGGAAGGCCCAGCAGCTGCTCTGAAAACAGCTTTCCCGGCCCACTCCCAGCACCACTGCCTCCAGGATTCTCTGCCTCTCACTTGCTTGTTCTCCAGGAGGACAGGACTTGTCTTCTTCACCACTCTGTTCTTGGTGTGTGTAGCTGGGTGAGGGAAGGAAGAACTGGAATCTGCTTCTGTCTTCTCTGGGGGTAGGACTGGGTTACTCTAGAAGGCTTCCTGGTTTTCAGGAGTGTAGGCCTCATGAGGCAGGACTGCGTGAGCAAGTTAGGGCATGAACCTCAGCTGGAGAGGCCTTGCTCTCTTTTCTATGAATCCTGGAATTTTGTGAGGGGTGAGGTGGACACTGGGCTTCTCAGTGACAAAGCCTCAGCAGGGCTCCCTCCTACCCACATGATCAGGGCAGCTTCCGGTCTAGGAAAAACCAGGCCCTGAGCGGTCCTCACGCTCACGCACACACTCCTCTGCCTCCAACCACTTGTTGCTCTTCCTGGAATGTCCTCTCCTCCCCTCTAAGGGTTGAATCCCAGGCAATGTTCAAGGCTCATATCTACTGTGTGATTTACATTCCAAAAACTCACTCTGCTCTCTTCTCAGGCACCTGTCACCCTTCCTGCCCTTCCTGCCAAGCAACCTCATTCAATGTGCCTTATGTCTATGCATGTTGTCTCTGCTCAGCCCTGTAAACCCCATGAGGCCAGGAACCATCTACTTTTGCTCAGTACTGGTGTCTGTCCAGCACCTGGCACATCTGTGTATTCAGCGAGCAGCTATTGGACAATCTGCCCCTGCCCACCTTTCTGGGTGAGCTCTGGTAGCCTGGTGACTCTTGGTCGGGGGAGACACACACGTCGGGCGGGGACCCAGCCTTCCCGGAGGGTACTCACTCGGCTGTGAACTCGTTGGTCCCCACAGGGATGCAGTAGACGAACTGCATGGCACTCCAGAGCCGGTGGAACTCTACACACTCATCGACGTGCATGACGCCATTGGTGGGCGGTGGGCCCCGCCAGATGGGGTCCTGTAGGTAGCTCCGGATGCGCGTCAGGATGACCTCAAACATAGACAGGCCGCAGCACAACCGCTCCTTGGTCAGCAGGTCGCCCTCCCGGGCGATGGCGATTTGCTGGGAACAGAAGAGTGCATAAACCTTCTAGCCTTACCTCAGACCCTGTCTTCCACCTCTCATGGGGGATTCCCAAACCCTACAGCTGGCTGTACCTGGGATTCATTCACCCACAGCAGGGCACTAACTTTGTAAACCTTAGTGCAATAGTAGGGGGTCTTGTGGCAAGACTTACTTGTGGTAAGTAAAATCTAAGAGCCATCAAAGAGGAAGAGTCCATTAAAAAAATCCACGTCTATCACATCATGGAATGTCATGCATCCACTGCAAAGACTGAGATGAAACTACTACCAGTTCACACTCACTGAGTGTGTGTGTAACACGTCAGGCCTGTTCTAAGCTACTTATCCCTCACATCAACCCCATGAAAGAGGGAACGATCCCATGAAACACTGACACTGTTATCCCCGTTGTACAGATGAAGAAACTGATGTTCAGAGAGGCAGCCAGTGAGCGGTAAAAGCTTGGATTTGAACCCTAGTCTAGATCTATGACTTAAATTGTTACGTGAATACACAGCAAGTTTCAAAAAAGGATGTATACTATAATCCTATTAAACACATCAACAACATACAATCCCATAGACAAACAAAAGTATATGGTGTGTGTGTGTGTGTGTGTGTGTGTGTGTGTGTGTGTGTTTAAGATAGTTTAGAAGGAAATGTCAACTGTGGGAGCAGATAGGCTTGGCGAAGCACACAGGATTTTCACTTTTTACTTTAAATACTTCTGTACATTTGAATGTTCTACAAAAAGCATATGTTACTCTTTAAACATTTGCCACTGATTTTACAGGATCATCTCCTATTAGAAATCCTCTAAGCATTGTAAACTATCTCTATTAATAATTTAAACTGGCTTCACATGTAGGTCCTGGTTACTGCATCTCTAATAATCAGCCGGCTAGACAAACACATCAAAACACATTACTGTCTTCATTATGAGTAAAAATGTCTAGGGGTAGAGATCTCAAAACCATCTGCAAATGGTAGACAGACATTAACATTTAAGGTCAAAGTAAGGTCTCCAAATCTTGGGACAAGGCTAAAGAGTACTGGTCTCTGAGATGGAGAGGTCCACATGGCACTCACGGGGTCAGCTCTCCAGAAGGAAGTCTCCCCAGAGAGCTCATTTCACAGAGTGCCTGGAAGGGGCCTACCTGACTTCTCCCTTTAAGCTATCACACTGGAGCCCCTAGAAGGAGAGCAATCTCTAAATTAATCCACAGAAGGAAATAAATCAGGAAACACAATGCTGGAGCCCATTAGGAAAATGGGCTATGGGCTTAGTTGTCATGACAACTATAAACTGAAAGAAGTCTAGCACACACAAAAAAAACGTAAATTGGGGAAGACAAATTTGTGTTTCAAACATGAAGGAGAGGGAACCCTGATTCAGGCTGACTCATATTGATTCTATAGGCAGAGAAAGCTCCTGAGCAGAGAAGAGACCATTTAATTTGTCACAGTTGGCTAGAAGTGTCTTCAAAAGAATCCTGAAGCTGGTGTTTCATTCTGTTCTTACCAGGCAATGCTCTAGACTGGTATTTGGACCCTGGAAGGGCTCTCCACTCAGAAAGAGAGGGCCTGGTACAGGGAAGGTGCTCAGTAAATAAATAAAGGACCCATATTTGTTCTCAAGTCATGGATATTCCTCTTCATCAGTTAACACAGACAATTCTGGTTCACTAATTAATCTCCTGGGCATCTACATAGTCTGAATCAATCCCCAGGGCCTGATAATCGTGTTGGGGAAAAATCAGCAATGGGTTTATAAATCTGTACACAGACTTTGAACTCTGGTGACCTCCCCGCTACAACCAACCAAAGGGCCTGAGACTGAAATGGTTTAGGGGCTTTGTCCCTTTGCCTTGGAGAAGCATTTACCCTTACAGTTTCTCCTGGGAGGGAGCTGTAAAAGTAACACACAGTCACTTGGATAAATACGGAAAAACATTTTCAAAACATTATAAGAAAATAAAAATCTCCCATGAACCCCATTACCTAGAAATGTGTAACACGTCACGTCTAGGAAATGAGGTTTCCTAGAGCATGGATATATGATTTGTGTTTATGTATGTGAGTGTGTGTATGCATCTATATTTAACAGAATTTGTTTATCTTGCTTTTTTTTATCTTCAGATAGCAGCAATCTAAGAAAACTATTTCCTTCAATATTTTCAGTACTCTAATTTTTAATGGTTACATAAAATGGCCATTGATATATCATCATTTATCGAGTCTTCTACACTTTTTTTATTTTTATATTTTTTATGCTTATTTATTTTTGAGAGAGGGAGAGAGAGAGAGAGAGCGCGCGCGAATGAGCATGATCAAGGGACGGGCAGAGAGACGGAGACACAGAATCGGAAGCAAGCTCCAGGCTCGGAGCTGTCAGCACAGAGCCTGACACGGGGCTCGAACTCACGAACTGTGAGAGCATGACCTGAGCCAAAGTTGGAACACTTAACCGACTGAGCCACCCAGGCGCCCCTTGAGTCTTCTACTCTGATTATTTTAAACTGTTTACAAATTTTCATTATTGCAGACAATTCTTAAGCAACTGTCCTCCTATGTAATTCTTTTTAAGCTTATCTCTGATCACTTTCTTAGGATAAAATCCTAGAAGGAGGAGTAGGACGATGCAGTTGAAGTGTGTACATATTTTAAAAGGCTTTTGCTACATAGCAGCACACTGGTCTGCAGACAGGCAGAAGCACCCTGTACCCTTTGCGTGAAGTCTGCACCTTTTACCCTCACTAGCACTCTGTTACCAGTAAGCAAAGTTCTTTGCCAACTTGAGAGATGAAAAATTGTACCCTAGTCTTTTAATTTCCATTTCAGTGATTACTGGTAAGGTTGAACACTTTCACTCTTTGTTGGCATTTATACTTTTCAGGGTGTGAGTTTTCTTTCATCTCCTTTTTCCTTTTTGCTTTGAAAAAAGTGCACTAATTATTGTTTGCAGCAAAGGCCCTCAATTTGTGACTTGGTGTTATGTACATATATATGAGATGTGTTTCATATACATTTCATCCAGTTCTTTTCTAGCCTAACTCAACGGGGGGGATTTTTCTCTCTCTTCCTGCCGTTCTTTTCTGAGTTAACAAGGGAACAGAAAAAGCATCTGTGAAAATAAATGTGGAAATAAATTTCTTCATGGAACACTTTGATTACGTTTAGTGCCCTCTGGAGGAGAATGGTATCTCGATATCCTTGGTATCATCCTTTGTGTTTTTTGAAAGTCTTTTAACTTATTTTTGTTCATCACAACAATCATGAAAGATGGCTCAACTATGGCAGCCAAACACCCATTAGCCCATTTCACAGGCGGGGAAACAAAGACTGAGATATTCAATGTCTAGCAGTAGATTATGCATCAATTCAGGTGTGAAGCTGGAACAAGGACCCCTGGCTAGTGTGCTTTCCATGGTAGCACCGGAGATCAAATCAGGTCACCTGAGTATGTCCCAGAAATCAATGCAAACAGTATGACACCATCAAAACCTCTTGACTTTAAACATGTGGCAGGATCTCCCTTGTTGCTCACTTAGATATTATGTGAGTCCCCTGAACCCCAGCTAGCCTGGAAGGTCATATTTTGTTAACTTTTCTTCAGTCTATGGGACGACTAAGTTTTGGACTATTCCTTGAGGGCTGGGAGACAGAAAACTGGCACTTCCTCTCCCTCCAGAATGTCTAGGCTTTTGTTGGTCAAATATTCAGCATTTGACAAATTGAGATTTCTAACAGTCCCAAGGAAATGGTGTTCGCCAGAACAGGGAAGGAATTTACAGTCTTCTAAGTGGAAACACATGCCAAACCCTGGATGTGAGAGGCCAGATTCTTGTAGGATGACACCAACAGCGGAGCAGACACATTTCTATGTCGCCGGCTTGGGGGATTTCTCCCTAAAAGGAAATCTTTAGAGGACTCCTCTGCTCAGCCTCTGAAGGCCAACAAAAAAAAAAAAAAAAAAAAAAAAAAAAAAAAAAAAAAAAAAAAGTGTGCATACTCCACAGGATCTGAATTCTCCCCGTGGTGACTCCAAGGACCCAGATGCCACTGAACACTGAGTCACGGTTTTCAGTAGGAGGTGGGTGGCACACAGGTGGTCTGGTGATGGCTGCTCAGGAGCCTGAGGACGGAGCAGATCGGGTCCTGCCATGTGCTCCAAATACTTGCCCTGATTTTTTAGAGAAGAGGCTGCATTCTGCCCCCTTGCTGAGGATGTGAGTCCTTCAGACTCATCAGCTTTGGTGGTACGAGCAGAGAGGACCCATGGAATGCAAGTCGGAGTGCACACTGGAATCCCAAACCTTTTGAAGAGTTGGCAAAGGCGAACAACACACACCCACCCTGGCTCGTCTCACCAGGGCACCCCATTTCTCTACCTGTGGAATTCCTCCCCTGGCCTCCTGAAAATGTGCAGATCACTCAAATCAACTTGGAAGGAGACAGCACGAGATCCTCATTGTGTCCCTCCCCTTTTCCTGATTCCTGCCACTGTCTTGAGTTCTCTGAGGCAGGGGTCCTGCCCCACTCATCCTCATGTGCAGAACAACTGGCACTGGTGTGTAAAAATTAGTTTTTGTTTCAAAGATTTTATTTTTAAGTAATCTCTACACCCGAAGTGGGGCTCGAACTCACAACCCCGAGATCAAGAGTCGTATGCTCTATTGGCTGAGCCAGCCAGGCGCCCCTGCAAAAACTGATTTTTTTTTTTTTTTTTAATTTTTTTTTTTTTTTTTCAACGTTTATTTATTTTTGGGACAGAGAGAGACAGAGCATGAACGGGGGAGGAGCAGAGAGAGAGGGAGACACAGAATCAGAAACAGGCTCCAGGCTCTGAGCCATCAGCCCAGAGCCTGATGCGGGGCTCGAACTCACGGACCGCGAGATCGTGACCTGGCTGAAGTCGGATGCTTAACCGACTGCGCCACCCAGGCGCCCCCAAAAACTGATTTTAATTACAGCATTAACACATGAGCTTATTCACTTTTGAAAAGATTAGAGCATTACAGATAAAGCTGACGTGTCCTGTGATCACTGCCCCATCTCTGTCTCTTTCATCTCTCTTCAGAGGGTGCCGCTCTTATGAACTACTAGTATACCATCTTTCAGGAAAAGCTTCACTGATATGGTTTTGTTGTATTCATTCTTCACCTAACTGTGCTCTTATGATCGATACACATTGATGCACCTAGATCTCATTTTTCCTTTTCATTATTATATAGAAAGTATTGAGCATTCAATGAACTTTACCACATTTTATTTAGTCAACCCTCTGTTGGTTGTTTCTAGTTTTTGCTTTAACAAACAATGCTACAGTCAACATCCGTGTTCCTGTGTTTTTCCAGCAAAGATATACAGAAGTGAATCACTGGTTCTCAGGGTGTGTGGAGGTTGAATTCTGAGAGGCAACTTACTCCTGATACTACCAGAATTCCTGATGCTAATAGAAGCACAATAGATACTTGTCTGACTTTCTTCTTTCTGGGTGGAATAGCTGATACACAGTGTAGAAGAAAGAACTCAGGCCTGAGAAATAGCAAATCTCATTCCAGACCTGACCCTGCCACTAACAGGCTTTGTAGACATTCCTCTCTCTGTGCCTCAGTTTCCCTGCCTGTCAAATGAGGGGGTTAGACCAAAGGAGAGCCTTTTAAAGTTCCTTTTGGTTCTCAGAGTCCACGATACAAGTATGGTACCTGGGGCACCTGGGTGGTTTAGTCGGTTAGGCGTCCGATTCTTGATTTCAGCTCAGGTCATCATCTCACAGTCTGTGGGTTCGACCCCCATGTCAGGCTCTGCGCTGATGGTGTGGAGCCTGCTTGGGATTCTGTCTCCCTCTCTTTCTCTGTTCCTCCCCTGCTTGCTCTCTATCTCTCTCAAAATAAATTAAAATAAATCTTAAAAAAAAAAAAAGAAGGATCGTACCTGAGGGGTCCCCAGCCGCTCTATCAGAGGGACCAGGTGAAGAGGGGCATACTTGGCCTCCAGGCGTTTCATCCGGACCTCCAGACGCTCCCCTTCTGCAAAAGGAGCAGCAGAGCAGGAAATGAGACTCAGGGCACCCTGGGGGACCTGAGGAACGAAAAACTCCCAGAGGACCGGTGACGTATCTGTGTTCCAAAACTTGGGACGGACTGTGTCGAATTGCTCTCTTTCGTCCTGGAAAGTGTGATCGGGACTCACTACAAGGAAAACGTTCTATTATCTCTGTCCAACAACAGAATTATCTGCCCTGTGCGGCGGTGAGTTCCCCATCATTCGAACAAATTAAACGAAGGCTAGACAGGAACACATTGGGGATGATCTAGAAGGACCAAGGAACAGGGCCTGGAGTGTCACTTCTAATTCTGTGATTCTATGAATATCAAATAGCTGCCCAAAGCTTTATTTATCCTTTCTGACTGCAGATCTGAGTTTATTGAGATTAAGTGGGCATGAAGTTCAAATGCAAGTTGGCTATTTAGTGGCTGTTAGTGATTTCTTACCTTTGATGTAGACTCTAGGCAAGATGTTTTGGAAGGGTGCAGCATGGAGCAAATCACAGACTTCCTCCTGAGACTGCAAACAGAGATGGAAGGAAAGAAAAAGGAAAATAACGTTCATTTTAAACCACGAAGAATTTTCATTTCTAAAAACTTGAGCACCACAGACAGCCAGGGTTAAATTTTGGCTCTTCTACTTACTAGCTGTGGCATCTTAGGCAAGTTGCTTAATCTCTTTGAGCCTATTTATTTACCTATAAAATGAGGACCAGAATAGTACTATTTAATGAGTTTTTGTAAGGACTGAGAGAAAGCATAACCTTATAGGATAGTCCTGGGCACATAATGAGTGTGCAATACATTTTTCGTTATAATCATATAAAAAATTTGTTGAGGATTTCAAACAAGTGACAGAGGAATCAAACAGAGATGATGGGCCCCAGAGCCTGTGTCTGTCTGATTGGTTATGAGGCTTGCAAGCTCAAAGCAGGTGGCTTGGCCAATCTGCCCACCCACTGACACGTATGACTCTATGCAAAGGCCTGTGTCTGTTTGGTTTTCTCCACACCAGACACCAAACAGTGAGATCAGAGAAACTAGAATCTAGGACAGATCCATTTTGATGGTGACTTATTATGCATAAACGTGAGCTTTAGAAAGGCTTAAAAAGAGGGAAGAGTCGGGGGAGGACAGGCCTGGAGGACAGGGTCTAATGAGCCTGCTGTCCCGGGACCAGTTTACAATCACTGGATCTCAGAACAGAGGATGGCATAAGAGGACCGAGAGAAGCCACGCCCCCCAAGGCTCTTCTTTAAACTGTGGGGATTTGGACTGGGTAAGACCCAGGCTTCATTCAACTCTGGCACTCTTGGATCCTGAACATCTGGGAAAATGAGGAGTATGAGTGCCCTTGGCTTTCCTTACCCAAGCATGGGTGGAATATGCCATCTTGGAAATCTGGAAGGCTGGCTGCTCAAGAGGGGAACCCCCAAACTCCTTTCTCACTATAGGTCAGTCCTTGAAGCGAGCTAGCAGAGGAAAGACAAGTGAATCCTTCAAAAGGACACTGATCTCAGTGTCTTAGCCAAAGGGGAAAATTTCCCTCTTTCTTAATAAATCTATTTTCTCCCATAACCAGTAGATCAAATCACCTAGTCTTGATTGCTATTTGTAAACTTAGGTCCTCAGCTTCATCGTATCAATCTAAAACTTGGCTTATTGATCATTCAGGCTACAGTTTATTAATATGGTGAATTACATTGATTTTTTCAGTGATGAACGAGCCTTGCATTCTGGGCATAAACCTCAATTGGATGTGATGCATGATCCTTTTTATGTACTGCTGGATATTATTTGCCAATATTTTATCGAGGATTCTTACACTTTTTTAATGAGGAGCACTGATTTGCTGTTTTCTTTTTTAAATGTCTTTGGTTTTGGTATTAGGATAATGTTGACCTTGTAAGATGATTTGGGACGAGTTCTCCTCTTTTCTGTATTCTGGAAGCAACTGAACAGAATTGGTATTATTTCTTCCTGAGACGCTTGGTAGAATTCACAAGTGAAACCATCTGCATGTGGAGTTTTCTTTGTTGCAAGTTTTTTGTTGTTGTTGTTAATTAGAAATAAAATTTCCTTAATAGACATAGGACTGACTATTCAGGTTACCAATGTTTTCCTTGCGTGTGTTTTGGGGTTTGTATGTGTCAAGGCCATGGCGGCTCCTTTCACCTCTCCCACGATCCCCACTTGGACGTCCAGCTCCTTGCTAAGTATCACTGCTTGGATATTCCACACCTCCACATTTCTAAGGCTGACTTTCCCCTTCCTCCTCCCTTTGCTCACCGAATGTCACATTCATCTCCTCATGTGCCCAAGCCCAAAACCTGGGGCTCGTTTTCCTTCTCTTTACTTCCCATGACCATTAAGTCCTCATGTCTCTCTCTCTTTTTTTTAGACATTTATTTATTTTGAAAGAGAGAGAGAGAGAGAGAGAGAGCTAGCGAGCGCACAAGCGGGGGAGGGGCAGAGAGAGAGGGAGAGAGAGAATCCTAAGCAGGCTTTGCACTGTCAGCACAGAGCCCGACACGGGGCTGGGTCTCATGAACTGTGAGGTCATGACCTGAGCCAAAATCAAGATTCAGACACTTAACCAACTGAGGCATGCAGGCACCCCACATCCTCATGTCTCTTGCTTCTTTCCACATTTCTTCCCGTTGGCCACCACAACACTCTGAGGTCCTTACGGGTGGGGGTGTGGTCTCTAGTTCTGTATCTTCTCCCCAGTGGCTAGAACGTAATGGTTTCTCAATAACGACTGATAAACGAATGCATATTTGTTATCTCATATTTGTCTTAGATGAATACATAAATGTATTTATCCACATGACTTAACCTCCAAGCATGAGAATACCATTACATCCATTCACCCAACAAATATTGGTGGAGTGCCTGGTACTGTTCTAGGCTTTGCAGATAAGACATTGAACGAGTTAGACTAGATCTCTGCCCTCATGGAATTTATGTTCTAGTTGATAGAGACAGATAAAAACAAACAAATCAGAAAATTTCAGATGGTGATAAAACAAAATAGGGTAATAGGCTAGAGAGTGACTGGGAGTGGGGAAGGGTCTACTTGAGGAAGGGTGGGTGGTTAGGGAAAACCTTTTTGAGGGAGAGACATTTGAAGAGAAGATGGAATGAAGTGAGGGAGCCAGCCATACAGATATGAAGTAAGAGCATTCCAGTGCAAAGGCCCTGGACTTTCCCCTTCCTCCCCCCTTTGGGGCAGAAGGTAAGCTGGAGCCTAGTGATGCCATGCTGGGAATCACAGTACACACTGAGGCCCTAATGGTAGGGAGGGACCAGATCATGTAGGGGTTCATAGGCATGGTATGAAGTCTGGATATTATCTTAAGTGCTATGAGGAACTATGGAAGTATTCTAAGCAGATGGTTGGTTACAATAGCTCCACTGCCAAGTTTTCCTATCTTTCTTGTTTTCTTTTCTTCCAAAAAATTCAGTGGCTCCTAGATACATCTTCTTACTAGAAAAGCTGACCATTGCATGAACCGTTAGCTTTCTATTTTATTAAATTTAGGTGGGTAAAATTGACCTTGGGTGCCACCTTAGGGGAGAGAGGAAGAGGAAGAAGGTTCTGGATCCTCTACAACAAGAAGAGCAATGTTGCTGCTTTATTACTTGCACATAATGAGCTTCCACTTCAGATTTCCTTGGGGGACAGGAGTGTTCCGTCCCCTCTCTGCATCCCCCCCCCCCCCCCCCCCCCCCCCCCCCCCCCCCCCCCCCCGCCATCCACAACTGCAGTGTCAGGGGTTCTCTAGGGCAAGGGGAACCTCCTGCTGGCATGCTTCCTGTGTGTTTTCTACCTCCTCATGCAATCTGTTAATGAAGGTGAGGAAAGACAGAAGGATGTGGTTTCCTAATAGAGGTGGGAAAGCATTTGCCTGCAAAGTCCCAGAGGATGAGCTACATGGCCATTTGCATAATGAGGCGGCTACATACCTCACAACACCTTTCACAAGGCATTTGTCTGGCATTCCTTAGCTGAGGCCACTGCGACGGATAAAAACGTCCAGTGCCGAGCACACAAAGGCTTGTGTCAGGGAGCCAAACCAGCCTCCACTGTGCGCGCCCATGCTAACGGTCGATCTCCTCCTTATCTAATCTCTATCTTGAAGGATCCACACTTGGCCTGTCCAGGAACCCCCAGCCCCTGGCTTGTGAAGCACGTTGATAGTAGGTTTCTTACCACTCGGCCTGCACTCCTTCTGCTCCAGCCACACCAGCGTTTGTTATTTGAATGCACCATCTGTGTGCTCATCACTGAAGTTTTGCCTTCTCTCTGAAACGTTCCCTGCCCCTCTCTTGCCCACACTCCCTTTGCTTAGTCAACTGCCACTCTTTTTTCGGATCTCAATTCAACCATCATTCCCTCAGGGGAGACTTTCTTGACCCCCCTCAATACCTCCCCGCCTCGGGCAGGTTCCCTTGTTATGTGCCCTCAAAGAATCACATCCTTTTCCTTTCAACATCTGAGCGCAACCTGTTTTAGAATTTATACTTGCCTGATTATATGTCTGGTTAATGTCTACCTTCCCCCACTGGGATGTCATCTTCATGAAGGTAGGCACAATGTCCATTTTTAACTGTATTTTATTCCCAATAGGGAGCACAGTGAGTGTCCGATAGATAATAAATGCTCAGTAAGTATGTGCAATAAAAGTTGAATGTCTGTGGCATAAAAGGGAATTGAGACTTAGGACAGAATCTCTCCTGTTTTGGGTTTTCTTATATGGGCCTGGATGCTTCCCCTTATTACTAAAGAAAGTATTTTCTCTTCAATTTTACTGATTACTCTGTATGAATTACATGACACATTTTTAAGAAGTACTCCATGTGATGAGATTCTCAGGTGTTCTTAATTTTCTATCCCTTTCTTTCTCCCTGTTTTTTTCCCGACTTGTATGCACTTACCGAATTTTCTATATTGTACATATATCATTTTAAAAAACTGATCTGAAACAAAACTCTGAAAGTAATTTTTTAACTTTAAAATAAGGAGCTTTGGGGGATTTGAGCTGGAATTAGAGGGAAGGACACGAAATCCTAGCATGCCATCTGGTCTAGCAAGGAAAAACATCTGTGCAGATTTAACAATGTAACTAGTATATGATTTTGTTTTGTTTAGGCTACACTTAAGGACAAGTTGCAGAAGAAAATACAAGTGTTACAAAAATACAGCTTTGATCATATAAAAGCAAAAGTAGCTGACATGGGGTAGGAGGCAGAAGTGTTAGAAGTGCAAGTTGGGGGTGTTAATTTCCTCATCTTTCACAGAAAGGAGTCAAGATATTAAATAATGTTACGAAGAGAAGCAACAGTGGTGTGAGTGTATTATCTCTGATTACAAGGGAAGCAACAGAAGCAACAAGTGACATAATCAAATATTAAAGAAGAGAGAGGAGAGATGTAAATGAGCTAAAATCTCATCTTTCCGACTAAGGAGTCAGTAGGTATTGTCTAAAGGTGCCAATTAAGAAATAGAAGCTATCC